GGTCAGTGTGTGTGCTGTCAGTGTGTTACAGTGCGGGTCAGTGTGTGCTGTCAGTGTGTTACAGTGCGGGTCAGTGTGTGCATCGTCAGTGTGTTACAGTGTGGGTCAGTGTACGTGATATCAGTGTGTTACAGTGCGGGTCAGTGTGCGCACTGTCAGTGTGTTACAGTGTGTTACAGTGCGGGTCAGTGTGCGCACTGTCAGTGTGTGCCAGTGCGGGTCAGTGTGTGCGATGTCATTGTGTTACAGTGTGGGTCAGTGTTTGTGGTATCATTACGTTACGGGTCAGTGTGTGCTGTGGGACATCACAGTTTTGCAGTGAGGGTGTGCGTTAATTTCATGTGTGGGGTTTTGTTCTCCCTTTCTCTCCGTTTCTGAATTTGGTGTCTTTCTGTACAGGGACGTTTGGGCTGGCACCGAATGGCTTAATGGTGCTTGACGTTGGGCTGGATGCAGCTCTGGCTGTGATTCAATCCCTTGCCCGATTCATGGCTCTGTATTTCAGTAACCAGCCCGTGTTTGTGCTGCCACCTCACCATGTTGACACCCTGCCACCTCATCACTACAAAGCAGGTGCGAGTGTTTTCTGACATTCCTCAGCAAGATGGCCAAATTGCGCTCAACTGACAGTCGGTGTATTTGCAAGGGCAGGCTCTACTTTCAGTATTTGTGCTCCCCGTAAGCTGGTGCCAAGAGTGGCAAGTGGCACCAGAGGAAAGTAGTGTCTGGACAGGGGACTGTTACAGTGCTGCCTGTGTGGTGGTACACTCAGCCTGGGTCTGTTCTGTAACTGTTTCCGATTGTGTTTTTCACCAGGTTGCCTTTCCCGAGTGGTCTTTCTTCAGCAGTGCCGTGTCTCACTTGCAGTACGAGAACAGCACCTGTCCTCCACCTGGAGCGTGAAGTACACAGTCGAACTGATGCTGCTCAGCAGGCTGTTTCCAGAAGCTGTCTGGTTTGCCTTGAGTCTTGGGGACTGGAAGAGTTCTGTGGTTCTGGGTCAAGCTTTCAGTCTGCACTGCCAAAACCTCCCTGAGCCTAGCAGGTACAAGCCCGGTCGAATGCTCGCTCTGACGTCTGGGCCTCATATATGTAAAAACCCACCCTGTGCAATCTCTCAACAGCCTTAAAAAGCTGATCTGGCTTCTCTTACATTATTTGAGAAATGGTCAGCGAATTGAAGGAAAAGCAGGGACTGAGCACTTACCCGCTGCATTACTTGCAACAGTGTTTTGAAATAATAGAGTATTTTATTAGATAAAAACTGAAAGAACTGCAGATGCTTTAAATTAGAACCAAAAACAGAAATTGCTAGAAAAGCTCAGCAGGTCTGGCAGCATTTGTGCAGAGAAATCAAAGTTGCCGTTTTGGGTCGCGTGACCCTTCTTCAGAACTGATGTGACTCGGAAAATGTTGGTTTTCACACAGAAGATAGGGTGGGGTGTAGTGGGTGAGGAGTAAACGATAGGTGGGGATATAGCCCAGAGAGAAAGAAGAACAGTTGGACAGACAAAAGAGTACATAACGATCTGAGATAACAAGGTGTAGAGCTGGATGAACACAGCAGGCCAAGCAGCATCAGAGGAGCAGGAAAGCTGACGTTTCGGGCCTAGACCCTTCTTCAGAAGTGGGGGAAGGGAAGGGGATTCTGAAATAAATAGGGAGAGAGGGGGAGGCGGAAAGAAGATGGATAAAGGAGAAGATAGGTGGAGAGGAGACAGACAGGTCAAAGAGGTGAGGGTGGAGCCAGTAAAGGTGAGTGTAGGTGGGGAGTTAGGGAGGGGATAGGTCAGTCCAGGGAGGACGGACAGGTCAAGGGGGTGGGATGAGGCTCGTAGGTAGGAGATGGCGGGGTCAAGGTGGGAGGAGGGGATAGGTGGGAGGAAGGACAGATTAGGGAGGCGGGGACAAGCTGGACTGGTTTTGGGATGCGGTAGGGGGAGGGGAGATTTTGAAGCTTGTGAAGTCCACATTGATACCATTGGGCTGCAGGGTTCCCAAGCGAAATATGAGCTGCTGTTCCTGCAACCTTCGGGTGGCATTGTTGTGGCACTGCAGGAGGCCCAGGATGGACATGTCATTCTAAGGAACGGGAGGGGGAGTTGAAATGGGTCGCAACTGGGAGGTGCAGTTGTTTGTTGCGAACCGAGTGTAGGTGTTCCGCAAAGCGGTCCCCAAGCCTCCGCTTGGTTTCCCCGACGTAGAGGAGGCCACATCTGGAACAGCGGATACAGTATACCACATTAGCAGATGTGCAGGTGAACATCTGTTTGATGTGGAAGGTCTTCTTGGGGCCTGGGATGGGAGTGAGGGGGGAGGTGTAGGGGCAGGTGTAGCACTTCTGCGGTTGCAGGGAAAAGTGCCGGGGGTGGTGGGGCTGGAGGGGAGTGTGGAGCGGACAAGGGAGTCACGGAGAGTGTGGTCTCTCCGGAAAGCAGATAAGGATGGGGAAGGAAAAATGTCTTTGGTGGTGGGGTCGGATTGCAGATGGCGGAAGTGTCGGAGGATGATGCGTTGGATCCGGAGATTGGTGGGGTGGTACGTGAGGACGAGGGGGATCCTGTTTTGGTTGTTATTGCGGGGAAGGGGTGTGAGGGATGAGTTACGGGAAATGCGGGAGACACGGTCGAGGGCCACTGAGAGGGGGGGCAGTTGTGGTCCTTGAAAAACGAGGACATCTGAGATGTTCCGGAGTGCAATGCCTCATCCTGGAAACAGATGCGGCGGAGGCGAAGGAATTGGGAATAGGGAGATGGCATTTTTGCAGGAAGGTGGGTGGGAGGAGGTGTATTCTAGGTAGCTGTGGGAGTTGGTAGGATTGAAATGGATATCGGTTTCCAGGTGGTTGCCAGAGATGAAAACAGAGAGGTCCAGGAAGGAGAGAGAGGTATCAGAGATGGTCCAGGTGAACTTAAGGTTGGGTTGGAAGGTGTTGGTGAAGTGGATGAACTGTTCGAGCTCCTCGTGGGAGCATGAGGTGGCGCCGATATAGTCTTCGATGTAACAGAGGAAGAGGTGGGGTTTAGGGCCAGTGTAGGTACGGAAGAGGGATTGTTCCACGTAACCTACAAAGAGGCAGGCATAGCTTGGGCCCATGTGGGTACCCGTGGTCACCCCCTTTGTCTGTAGGAAGTGGGAGGAATTGAAAGAGAAGTTGTTAAGGGTGAGGACAAGTTCAGCTACATAAAGATCTGGCTAGGAGAGTGAGTAGTTGATAATGGGGACTGTTAGTGGCTGACAATGGGTTGTGTGTAATAGCAGACTGTGTGATAACAAGGTCTGGTGTGTCTGGGGGTTGAGTAAGGTCATGGGAGAGCTCAAGCCCTCAAGTTGTTGAACTTGATGTTGAATCCGGAGGCTTTCTCGGGGAAACGAAGTGTTCATAGATCATAGAATCCCTGCAGTGTGGAAACAGGCCCTTCAGCCCAACAAGTCCACACTGACCCTTGGAGCATCGCACCCAGACCCATTCCCCTATAACCCACCTAAGCTATTCATCCCTGAACACAACAGGCAATTTAGCCTGGCCAGTCCACCTTGCCTGCACATCTTTGGACTGTGGGAGGAAACCGGAGCACCCGGAGGAAACCCATGCAGACACGGGGAGAATGTGCAAACTCCACACAGACAGTCGCCTGAGGGTGGAATTGAACCCGGGTCCCTGGCGCTGTGAGGCAGCAGTGCTAACCACTGAGCCACTGTGCTGCCCTTGTGAGGTGTTGTTTCTCCAGCTTGCGCTGAGCTTCACTGGAGAACTGCAGCGAGCCTGAGACAGAGATGTTGACCAAGGAACACGGTGGTGTATGAAAGTGGCAGGCAACTGGAAGCCGAGTGTCTTTTTTGTGGACAGAACATAGGTGTTCTGCAAAGTGGTCACCCAGTCTATGCTTCGATTCGCCAATGTAGAAGAGACCATATTGTGACCAGCGAATGCAGTAGACTAGATTGTGTGAAGTGCAGGTAAAGCACTGCTTCAACTGGAACGCGATCTTACTAGGATAATAGGTTGGCACAACCTCGAGGGCCAAAGGGCCTGTTCTGTGCTGTACTGTTCTATGTTCGATGTATGCTTGTGCAGAAAATAGAGATGAGGTCCTGCAAATGAAGTTAGGTAGGAAGTTGAAAAGCATGACCTCTAAAGTTATAATCTCGGATTACTTCCTATGCCACATGCCAGTGAGGCTAGGAAAAGGAAGATAGTACAGTTAAATACGTGGCTAAAGAGCTGGTGTAGGAGCGAGGGCTTCAGACATATGGATCATTGGGATGTCTTCTGGGGCAGGAGCGACCTGGACAAGAAGGATGGGTTGCACATAAACTGGAGGAGCTTCAATATCCTGGCTATTGCCCCTCAGGAGGATTTAAACCAGTGTGGTAGGGGAGGTAAGAACCAGAGCAGTAGGTCAGCAGTAAAATGACCAAGGAGTCAGAGACTAAGGCCAGTAAGGCTAAGAGGAAGAACAGACAGGAAGGAATCACTGAATACAGCTGGACTGGTGGTCTGAGGCATATTTGTTTTAATGTGAGGAGTATGACAAGTAAGGCAGGTGATATTAGTACTTGGATTAATACATGTAACTATGATGTAGTTATTACAGTGACTTAGTTGAGAGAAGGACAAGAAGGTCAAGAGGCAGCTTAACATTCCAAGATTTAGACGTTTCAGCGAGATAGAGAGAGATGTCAAAGGGGTCAGGAGCTGCATTACTGATCAGGGACAATATCACAGCTGTACTGAGAGCGGACACCTCTGGAGCGTTCATCCACCAAAGCTTATTGGTAGAGCTTAGGAATAGGAAGGCAGTCACTTTGATGGGGTTAATCTATAGGTCTCCCAACAGCCAGTGGGAGATACAGGAACAGATATGTGGACAGATTATGGAAAACTGTAAAAACAAACAGGGTTGTTGTGGTGGGTGATTTTAACTTCCCTTATATTGACTGGGACTCACTTAGTGCCAGGGGCTTGGATGGGGGTGGGAGGTACTTTGTTAGCCCCATGCAGGACTGTTTCTTTGAAACAATAGGTATGGTGTTCACCTAGGGAAGGGGCCAGACTATACCTGGTATTGGGGAATGAGCCTAGCCAAGTGATTGAAGTTTCAATGGAGGAGCATTTTGGGAACAGGGCAGTTTGGCAAATTGGATTCAAAACTAGCTGTGTCGGAGAGAGCAGAAAGTGATGGTTGAAGGGTGTCCTTGAGACTGAAAGCCTATTTCCAATAGCATACTGCAGGGTTCGGTACTGGGTTTCTTGCTGTTTGTAGTGCACATTAATTATCTAGGCATGAAGTTCTGCAGGTGATGATCTGGTGGTATACGTGGCCAGAAGGAAAGCCTTTGACTGTAGGGCAATACAGGGCTGGACAGTGGCAAAAAGAATTTAATCCTGAAAAGTGTGAGGTGATGCATTTTAGGAGGACTGACAAGGCAAGCGAGTACATGTTGAATGGTAGGACTGCAGGAAGTACTGATGACCTGAAGGGGCTTGTGCAGTAGGACAGATGGATAAGTTGGTTATGAAGGTATATGGGCTACTTGTCTTTGTTAGCGGAGGCACTAAATATAAGAGCACAAGAGATAATGATTGAACTGTATATAATGTTAGTTCGGCCACAGCTGGGGTACTGTGTGCAGTTGTGGTCATAAAGGAAAGTGTGATTACACTGGAGAGGGTGCCGAGGAGATTCATCGGGATGTTGCCTGGGCTTGAGGTTTCAGCGATAAAGGGATAATCTATAGACTGGAGATAACAAGGTGTAGAGCTGGATGAACACAGCAGGCCAAGCAGCATCATAGGAGCAGGAAAGCTGACGTTTCGGGCCTAGACCCTTCATCAGAAAATCCTGCTCCTGTGATGCTGCTTGGCCTGCTGTGTTCATCCAGCTCTGCACCTTGTTATCTCGGATTTTCCAGCATCTGCAGTTCCTACTATCATCGATAGACTGGAGTTGATTTCCCTAGAGCACAGAAGGCTGAGGGGGCCCAGACTGAGGGGTACAAAGTTATGAGGAGCATATGGTCGATGGGGGAGAAATCGTTCCCCTTCATGGAGTGGTTAATAACCGGGGGCATGGTTTTATGGTAAAGAGATTTAGAGGAGACTGCAGGAAATGTTTTTACACCCAGTGGGTGGTGGTGAGTATCTGGAACTAACTGCTTAAAAGGTGTTCGAGGCAGGAATCCAAGACATTTAGGAAGTATTTAGATGAACACTTGAAATGCAATAGCATACAAGGCTATGGGCCACTGGGAAAAGACTTGATGACTGGCATGGACATGATGGGCCAAAGGGTTTCTTCTTTCTGTTCTGTAAAATCTTTATGACTATTTAATAAGAACTGCTATTTATTATAAACAAATAAGTTCTAGTCACAGGTAAACAAAACTGTGAACAATCAACATAATAACTCTACTAGTTGAAACTCTACCCCCCCCACCCGCCTTACTTGAAAGCCCCTACACACATACAGGCACACACAGACCATTTGCAGGTTATGGTTGAAGGAAGGTTACTAGGGAAAAACAGTTCAATAATACCAGTCCAAAGGGTTCGATGAGATGTCTGTTTTGCATCCCAAGACCTTCTGTTCTCTGATCTTCTTTGAGGATTCATCCACAGGAGACAGGGTGATTAGCACACTAATTATAATCAGCTGCAATCATCTTTGAGCTGCTGGTTAAAGGCAACCGTGTACAGCAAATGAAAGCAAATACAGCAAATGTACAGAAAGTATGAGGTTTCAAGTGTGTGTGTGTGGACAGTAGATGTGGAATCCGTTTTGTTTGAGTTTGGATTTTATGGTGTTTCAGAAGGAACTGGACAATACTGCATTTACCAGCACAACTGCAGCCCTCACAGATCTTCCGGGATAAGTTGCAGACACTATTGGGCTGCCCAGACAACAGGATGGTGTCTTTGGATAGCTGCACGATGGCACCCGGAAGAGACTCTAAACAATCGACAGGTGAATTGACAACAGAATCGGCTACCTGAAACTGAGGGACAGGTTCAATAGTACAGAGAGCAGGAACTACTTGGACTTTGGAATAGAATATGTTCTCTTTAGCAGATTAAATGGGTGGGTAGAGTCAGTGATGGGGGGAGAGCGTACACGGGGCTGTGGGAGGGGATTTAAATGGGTGAGTAGAGACAGTGATGGGGGGGAAGAGTGTACATGGGGCTTTGGGAGGGGGATTAAATGGGTGGGTAGGATTAGTGATGGGGGGAAGAGTGTACATGGGGCTTTGGGAGGGGGAATAAATGGGTGGGTTGAGTCAGTGATGAGGGGAGAATACAAGGCTCCTTAGCACTGTAGTGAAAGGCGTAGTCTATCCCTCAGAGTGCATTTGTGTTCTCTGCAGAGTCTGACGGGTGCTGCTTTTCTTGGGTCACTCTGAACAGTGACTGAGACCCTGTCTCTGATCTTGGGAGAATATGGTCAGTATGGTGTATGATCCCATCCATGATGGATTGCCAGTGCAACAGGCCATGAAATTTGCTGTTTTCCAATTTCTGTCCCTCTGTTTTGCAGATTCCATTGAAGAAGGGGGTGCAGATGTGTTGTTTCTCTCAGTACAGGAGATTCTGAAAGCAGCGGTGATGGTGAATGCAGATGTGCTGACAGAGACCTTTCAACTTTTGATGCAGACAGCAAAGGAGCATGGGAGCAGCCTGCCTGGGTTGGTTCCTGATGGCCTGTACCTCCCTGCACCTCCATTATATTGTCCTCAGCCTGCTATTGACACAGAGGTGAGCATGGTGAGCAGTGAACACAGTGACACTGAGGGCCACAAGCTCTGACTTACTGAGTTTCTGTTTAAGCTCCACACTGTGTGGTTGCTGCCAATGCTACTTGTTCCTGCACTGCCGACACTGGAACCTCGGGCTGTGGTGTTCTTGGATTGGATGTGTGTGCCACTGGCACAGCCAGTATTTGATGCCCATAATTTCGTGCAATTGAGTTGAGTGTCTCGTTCGGCCAAAACAGAGGGCAGTTAAAACAGTGAACCACATTGTTGTGGGTCTGAATTCACGGGTAGGCAAGATGGGGAAGGATAGCAGATTCCTTCCCTAATGGACATAAATGAACCCGATGGGTTTTTATGGCAATGTTACGTGATCACCTGCAATGGCACAGTCTCAGAGTGAAGCAATGAGTCTTTAGAACTGAAATGTAGAGGAATTTCTTCAGCCGGAGGGTGATGGATCTTTGGAACTTATTGCCGCAGAGGGCTGTGGATGCCAAATCACTGAGTGCATTTAAGACAGAGATAGGCTCTTGATTAGTAAGAAATCAAAGGTTATGGGGAAAAGGCAGGAGAATGGGGTTGAGAAGCATATCAGGCATGATCGGATGGTGAAGCAGACTCACTGGGCCGAATGGTCTAATCCTGCTCCTATACGTTATGACCTTATTAACTAGCTTTCTCATTTCCAGGAACAAAAACAAAGTTGCTGGAGAAGCTCAGCAGTTCTGGAAGCATCTGTGAAGGAAAAATCAGAGTTAACGTTTCGGGTCTGGTGATCCTTCCTTTGTTTTTTCCTTCACAGATGCTGCCAGACCTGCTGAGCTACTCCAGCAACTTCTGTTTTTGTTCCTGATTTACAGCATCCGCAGTTCTTTCAGTTTTCATTTCCAGATTTGAATTAATTTAAATTTGAACCATGTTCCCTAGGCATTAGCTTTGGTCTTAGAATATCCAGTGCAGTGATATAACCAACTGTAACCCCCTCCCCTGTAGTGAGTGTTGGTGAGGACCATTACAGTCAATATGAACATGAGATTCCAGGGAATGCATCCTGATGGGGGCTTGTGTAACTATTAATGATTTGCAGTATTGTAGTATAGGTGTGACAGTGGTTATGCTCCTTAAAAATCACTTGGATTCCACCAAGTTGAGGCCGTCAGAGCCGGCACAGTAACAGGGAGTTTCTGGAAGTCAGGAGATATTGGAACAAATGAATTACAAAGACCAAGGGTTTGGGGTCTAATAGTGGCAGATTGCAGCGAGGACAATGAGGAATCAGACTGTATGTCATGTACAAGAATCTACTATGTATGCTATGCGGTCTTGCTAATATTCAGTTTCTTATTTAGATTAACGTTTATGCAGTTACGGAATTAATTGTCAATCCCTTCCATCTTCAGAACATTGCACAGGATTCTGGATTATATGCAGAGAAAGCTGCTCGGCACAAATTGTCAGACATCATCCAGCGGCACCTGCTGCTATTCAGGGCTGCTCGCTGCTCACTCCCAGCAGCACACTGGTACATCAACAAACTCCGGCATGCTCAAAAGGTCATGAATAAGGTAAATCTAATTGGACAGAGACACTTCCAACAAGAAACGAGCAGTTCCTGCCTCATCTGTGTCTCCCTCAGACCTTTTATAGGAGGAAATGGTCAGCGGACTAATTGGATACAAAATTGGCTTGAGGTAGGAGACAGAGGGTGGTGGTGCAATGTTGTTTTTCAGACCGGAGGCCTGTGACTAGTGGTCTGTACAGGGATCAGTGCTGAGTCCACTGTTGTTTGTCATTTATATGAATGATTTGGATGAGAATAATGGAGGCATGGTTAGTGAGTTTGCAGATAACACCAAAATTGGTAGTATAGTGGACAGTGAAGAAGGTTATCTAAGATTATAAAGTGATCTTGATCAATTGGATCAACGGGCTGAGGAGTGGTAAATGGAGTTTAATTTAGATAAATTTGAGGTATTGCATTTTGGTAAAACAAACGAGGATAGACTTATACAATTAATGGTAGGGCCGTGGGTAGTGTTGTAGAACAGAGATGCAAGGGTTCAGGTACTAAGTTCTTTGAAATTTGTGTCACATATAGACAAGGTAGTTAAGAAGGCGCGTAGCATGCTTGCCTTCATTGCTGAGACCTTTGAGTATAGGAGCCGGGATGTCATGTTAATATTTTACAGGACATAGCTGTGGCTGTTCTAGAGTACTGTGTGCCGTTTTGGACACCTTATTAAAGGAAGGATATTATTAAACTGGAGAGAGTTCAAAAACAATTTATCAGGATGTTGCTAGGAATGGAAGGTTTGAACTATAAAAACGGACTGGAAGGACTGGGATAACACAGTGTGGAGCTGAAAGAACACAGCAGGCCCCAGGCAGCATCAGAGGAGCAGGAAAGTTGACGTTTCAGTTCAGGACCCTTCTTCAGAAAATTTTCTGAAGAAGGGTGCCGACCTGAAATGTCAACTTTCCTGCTCCTCTGATGCTGCCTGGTCTGCTGTGTTCCTCCAGCTCCACACTGTGCACTCTCTGACTCCAGCATCTGCATGTCTTACTATCTGGAAGGACTTGGACTTTTTTCACTGGAGCGTAGGAGGTTGAGGGGTGACCTTATAGAGGTTTGTAAAATCATGAGGGGCATAGATAAGGTGAATAGCAAAGGTCTCTTCCCTGGGGTGAGGGAGTTCAAAACTCGGGCACATATTTTTAAGGTCAGAGGAGAAAAATTTAAAAAGGTCATGAGGGGCAACTTTTTTTACACGGAGATTGGTTAGTGTGTGGAATGAACTGCCAGAGGAAATGGTGGATGCAGGTACAGTTACAACATTTAAAGGACATCTTAGATAAGTATATGAATAGGAAATGTTTGGAGGGAAATGGGCCAAATACAGGCAAGAGAGACTAGTTTAGTTTGGGATTATGGTTGGCATGGAGTGATCGGACCGAAGGGTCTGTTTCTGTGCTATATGACTCTGACTGTATGACTACAAAACTGTACCTTCCAGACACCCCTCCCCACTCCCATCAATCCTGTTCCCCTTGACATCTCCTTCCACTTGACTACCCTCTTTCCTTTGAAACCACTGCCTCCTCCACCGCCTCCCCCACCCGCACCAAGCTATAGAACCATTGAAATGATACATCACAGAAGGGGGCCATTTGGCCCGTCTTGTCCATACTGACTCAAAGACACCCAGATGTCTATTTTAATCCCATCTTCCTGCACATAGCTCTATGGCTTGAACTCCTCTGCCACTTTCTTGCCCACTTCACCAACCCATCTATATCATTGGAGCTTACAGCTATCCTCTACATTCTTCACTACATGGCCAATTTTTGTGTCATCTTCAAATTTCTTAGTTGTGCCCCCCACATTTCAGTCCAAATAATTAATGTGTAAAACAAACAGTGGGTGTCGGGATGTCTCAACACTGAGCACTGCGGAACACCACCTGAAACTGCTTTCTATTTACAAGGGCAGCGATTGACCATTACCCTTTGTTTCCTGTTACTAAAGCCAGCTTTGGATCCAATTTCACACATTTCCCTGTATCCAATGGGCTTTTATTTTTTTGACAAATGTGTCATGTGGAACCTTGTCAAATGCTTATAAAATCCATGTAGACAAAATCCACTGCACTGCCCTCATTGATCCTTCTTGTCATTTCCTCAAATAATTCAATCAAATTTGTAAAGCATGGCCTTTCCTTAACAAAGCCATGCTGACTGTCCCAGAGTAGCCCATGCCTATCTATGTGACAGTTTATCTGATCTCAGGATTGATCCTAACAATTCGTCCACCACTAAAGTAAGACTAATTGGCTTATAATTGTTTGTTATTTCCTTTGTATGCTTTTTAAACAACGGGAACCACATTTGCATTCCTCCAGCCCTCTGGCACCTCATCTGTGTCTAGTGAAGATTGGAAATAATCCATAATAATCCTCAGAGCATCTGCTATTCCCTCCCTGACATCCTTCAACATCCTAGGGAACAAACCAACTGGCCCTGGCAACTTATCCACTTTCAAGGATTCCAACTCTTCTAACACATACTCTCTTGTTAGGATTATTTTGTCTAATATTTTACGTGCTCCTCTTGGATGACTATATCTACATTATCTCTTTCCTTTGTGAATACGGAGACAAAATTTCATTTCAAATTCTTTCCATATTTTCCGCATCTTCACTCAGGTTCCCTTCTTCATCTCTGATTCCTTAATTATCCTTTTGTTCTTTCTATACTAGTAAAACATCTTTGGGTTTTCCTTTATCATGCTTGCTAATAGATTTTCATGCCCTCTCTTTGATTTCCTTATTTCTTTTTTTTTAAACTTGATCCTTGTACTTTCTATACTCCTCTAGACTTTCTGCTGTGTTGAGTATTTTGTGACTATCACAGGAGTTCTTCTTCTGTTTAATCTTCTACTGTATTTTTCTAGACAACCAGGGGGGTCTAGATTTGGCAGTATCATTCTTATTTTTGGAGGGGACATGTCTGCTTTGTGCCTTAAGGATCTCACATTTTGGTGCCTCCCACTGGTCAAACACTGATTTATCTTTTAGCAGTCCACCTCAGCCGCGTCACTGCAATTTTGTAAAATTTCCCATACCCCAGTTAAAAAAAAAACTTTTACTCCTGATTTAATGCTGTCCTTTTCTATAATAATACTAAATCTAACCAAATAGAATCATAGAATCCTTACAGTGTGGAAGCAGGCCATTTAGCCCATTGAGTCTACACCGACCCTCCGAAGAGCATCCCATCCAGACCCACCCCCTGCCCTATCCCTGTAACACTGCATTTCCCATGGCTAACCCACCTAACTTGCACATCCTTGGACACTACGGGCAATTTAGCATGGCCACTCCACCTAACCCGCACATCTTTGGACTGTGGGAGAAATCTAGAGCACCCAGAGAAAACCCATGCAGACACGAGGAGAATGTACAACTCTACACAGACAGTCACCCGAGGCTGGAATTAAACCTGGGTCACTAGTGCTGTGAGGCAGCAGTGCTAACCACTGCGCCACTGTGCTGCTCCCAGAATTGTGGTTACTATCCCTGATATGGTCACCCACTGTCACTTCTCCCACTTGCCCATCTTCATTTCCCAAAACTAAATCCAGAAATGTGTCTCCTCTCATTGGGTTTGTCACATACTGTTTAAAAAGAAATCTTGGACATTTTACATGAATTTTTCACCCTCAATGCCCCTATGTTTGAAATCTAGTTGATATTGGGATAGTTAAAGTGTCCTACAATTATTGCCCTCTTATTCCTACAGGCAGAAATTTGTCTTCATGTGTTCTTCTATCTCCCTCTCACTATTTCAGTAGTGCAACTGCCCCCTTTTATTCCTAAGGTCAACACATAAAGCCTCATTCGTGAACCCATTTAGTGTACCATCCCCGCTCACAACTGTAATTGTTTCTATAAGTAGCATTGCTACGCCCAGTCCTTTTTTGTCACCCACTCTATCTTGCCCAGAAACTTTGTATCCAAGGATATTGAGCTGCCAATTCTGCTCCTCCTTAAGCCAGGTTTCCATTGTAGCAATGACATTATACTGCCATGTGTCTGTCTGTGCCACTAGTTCATCTGCCTTGTTTGTAATGTTTCTTAAATTGAAGTATAAACAGCTCAAACCCATCAATTTCTTTTGCTGAACGTTTTTAAATCCTCTTTTATTTTGTCAGAGGCGCTAACTGTATCATTAAATAATGTTTTCCTTCCCATTTCCTGATCTGAATCTGACCCATCTAAACCTACACTTCAGTTCCCATCTCCCTGCCTGATTAGTATAAAATCTCACCAATGGAACTAGCAAAAGACCCTTGCGAGGAGATTTGTCCCAGCTCTATCCAGGTACAACCTGTCAGGTTTGAACAGGCCCCATCTTCCCCACAAATGGTCCCAATGCATCAAGAATCTAAGCCCCTCCCTGGTACACCGTTCCTGCCGCCACACATTCATCTGATTGATCCTCTTATTCCTGCTCTCACTAGCATGTGGCACCGGGAGTAATCCTGAGATTACGACATTTGTCATCCTGCATTTTAATTTACACCCTAACTTCCTATATTCAGCTTTCAGGTCCTCATCCCTTATTTACCTATGTGCACTGTGACCACTAGCTGTTCACCCTCCCGCTCCAGAATGTCCTGCAGCCACTCCGTCACTCCCTGGCCCTGGCACAAAGGAGGCAACATGCCATCCTGGATTCACATCTGCAGCCACACAAGCGCCTGTCTGTACACTTACTGTTGAATCCCCTATCACTGTAGCCCTGCCACTCGTTTTCCTCCCCTTCTGGGCAGCAGAGCCACCCATTGGGCCATGAACTTGGCTTATTGCTGCTTTCCCCTGAGAGACCATTCCCCCCCAACAGTATCCAAAACAGTATATCTATTTGAGAGGGGGATGACCACAGGGGGCCCCTGCACTTCCTTTCTGAGCCTTTTACTTTGATGGTCATCCATTTCCTTCCTTCTGTGGTGTGCCCAGCTTGCTAAATGTGCTATCCCTGGCATTCCCATGTCGCGGATGCTGCACAGTGAGTCCATCTGCAGCTCCTAGCTCTAAAAAGCTGTGAGCCAGTAGCTGCAGCTGGACACTCTTCCTGCACACGTAGTCATCAGGGACATTGCAACCTTCCCTTATTCCCCACACTGCACAAGAGGAGCACACCATAGCCCTGAGGTCTCCTGTCGTGACCTCTCTCCAGATTAAGCTAGTTATCCCTTTAAGAGAATTTAATTAAACTAGGGACCTTTCTTCATTTCAAACACTTCTATTGTAATCAAAAAGCCCTATCTTTATTTAAGCTAATATATTACGCTTTAAAAACTGTAAGAAAATGCTCTGCAGCTATCATTTACCAATTAGCTGTTTCTGTTGGGGCTGTGTCACTTTCTGAACTGCCTAGACTGAGACTCAGCACCACATTAGTCTTTCAACTGCACCTACGTCCCGTATCACCTCAATCTCTGTTTTTACCCAACTCCAAAGCTCTCTCATTTAGCCAAGCAGCACTCACAGTGCCGTAAGAAGCACTGAGGTTGTCATCCTTTTATAGGCCCCAGAAACAAATCAGTCATTCGGTTAACCAGCTTCACTGGAGAGTGACTCAGTTGCCTGTTCCAGAAATGTGACTAAAACTACACCCAATCACTCAAGCCAGCTTTTAGTTACTAGATTGAAGAACTAATTTAGCTTGAAGGTTGGCCCTGAAATTAAGTTTAATTACCACTTGCCCCTTGCAATTTACCCCTCAAAACCCAATGTTTGCACCCGACTCCAAAGCACTGTCATTTGGCTAAGCAGCACTCTCAATGCAGTGAGCAGCACACCCTTCCTTCCTTTCGTATCTCTCGACTCTCCACCCTCACCTACCCAACTCCCCTTCTCACTGCCTCCATTTTATCCCCCTCCTGCCCAACCCAACTCTGAATCTGTTCCTGACAACCTATTCCACCATTCAGTTACTGTCAGTTTGATGGCATTTCTTACCATGCTGCCACTTTGTTGGGTCAGTGAGCCATATTCCTTGTGAGTGTTTCTCTTCTAGGGAGGGGCTAGTGCCCTATGTTAATTGGGTTCTTGATAAATAAGGGGATCAAGGGTTACGGGGAGAAGGTAGGAGAGTGGGGTTGAGAAAGATATCAGCCATGATCAAATGGCAGAGCAGGCTCGATGGGCTGAATGGCCTAATTCTGCTCCAATAACTTGTGGTCTTATGGGCTGTGGGGGTTTGGGTTGGCAGAGTTGCTGACTCAGCTTCATGGGACAGGAGGAGAGATTGAATGCCTCTGTGTTTGCGTTGCTGCACTGAGCTGTGGGAGTTTGGAGGTTGGTTTTTAACATTGTCAGTGATTCCTTAGCTGATCTATTTGTTTGCTGTTAGATCAGAGGGAAGGCTGGTATCCCTCCACTCTCTCCCTTCCCTGACTCATTGCTACATTATGGGAAAGCTCGGAGCAGCTTCTTCAGACCGGGAGCCGGGGGCGATGCTACTTCTAATGCAGTCTCCAGCAGAGTAATCAGTGAGTACATTACCGCCAACTGTCTCCTTGCTTTCCCTTATATTCTCCTCTCCTGACACCCTTGGTATGATGTGACATCCACAGGCAGCAACAACACTCCGCTGCTTGCCTGCTGAATGTCGACAGGATATTTAACCATGAGTGAAATGCAGCCTCGTCTGACGTGTCTTCCCCAGCAGCTCCAGCAGATATTACAAAGCCCTAGTATGGAGCAGGACCTCACACTGGCCCTTGCTCCAATTCCTAATACCACTGGGCTAAACTAACCTCCTCACTTTACCTTATACCACTGCTATTTGTCAATGACTAAATGTCTAATGCACTCTGGGGTAGAGAATTCCAAAGGTTCATAACCTTCTCAGGAAAAGATTACTCCTCATTTTGATCCTAAGTAGTCCCACTTTATTTTCAAATTATGTCCCCTGGTTCTAGATTACCCATCCAAGGAAGACTACAGAATAAAGACCGGACAATCTGGCTCAGGCTGCACTCTCCCTGAGAACCCATCGCCCTCACCAGTATTGAAAACTGAAAACAGATTAGCAAACTGATTAGACTCAGGACAGACAGGGTCTCCTGCACTGCACACGTTCTCCCCAACTGTCTGGCAGTCACCCATTCCCTCACTGCATGCATACTGCTAACCTGTGATGTGACCATCTGCCTGCACATGTTGTCTATGCAGTCCTCTGCCTGTGAATGTACAGTAGAGACTCTGGCCGTTGGTTGAGTTCCAAAACCCGAAGCTGAAGACAGTGACACATCCTGCTGAGGTTTTTGTCCAGAACTCATGCTGGGCCTGGGGTTTCCTACGTACTGCAACATTTACCCTCCACTCGGTTAAACTGGCTTGTTTATTACAATTAGAAGAAGTACAATAATTACCCATTACTCACCAATTAGCTTCCTCCGCTTTGCAGCCTGAGGCTGATGAAGATTGGAAAAGGAAATAAAAGACAAGAGCTTCCTTTTCCTCTTCACTGAGCTGCTTTACTACCGAACTCCCACTTCACACGCTAGGTCCTCTATATAGACAAGACAAGGCAGCACTAACAGAGGCAACAAGGTGCAGGGC